TTCAGAGAGGAAGGGAGAGGGAAAGAGAGATAGAAACATCAATGATGAGAGAGAATCATTGATTGGCTGCCTCCTGCATGTCCACTACTGGGGATTAAACCTGCAACCCAGGCATGTGCCCTTGACCAGATTCGAACCCAAGTCCCTTCAGTCTTCATGCTGACACTCTATCCACTGAGCCAAACCAGCTAAGGTTGCTTCCAGAAAGGAATGACAGCCCCAGTGGAAATGCATTGGGTCACAAGAGGGCTTCGGGCTTTTCTCAGAACTCGGTGTGTTTTTCTATCTGTCTTTCTCTTTGCTTCCCCACCAATGTATTTGTGTGTCTCCTCCTTTTTGACACTTGCTCCTCCTTTACCTCCCATGTCCTTCCTCTATTGGCTCAAAGTATAGGTGTGTCTGGTGTTCTGTAAGTTAAAATTTATCACCTCCATTTTTCAAAAATTTTTAAAGTGACTGAAACTTCTTCCAGTTTTCTTTTTGTGAAAACTCCTCTATTACACTATACTGTATTAGTTATGTGGCATCACTTATGCATTTGTCTTCCTTAATGGATTAACATAATGAATGTTTAATTAGTTATGTGGCATCATTTATGCATTTGTCTTCCTTAATAGATTAACATAACAAATGTTTAACTTAAAAAATGTACAACCCAAACAGGAAGAAGTCTGGGAACTATTTGGAGGATAAAACTACAGGTAGTTACTCTGGATAAGATAAGAATACAGATATCTGAAAGGGTGGGGATTGCTCTGAGTTGCTCTATAACAGTGGTCAGCAAACTGCGGCTCCGCAAACTGCGGCTAGCGAGCCACATGTGGCTATTTGGCCCCTCGAGTGTGGCTCTTCCACAAAATACCGACTTCTGTGCATGGGCCACGAAGTTTCAATCGCACTGTATGTGCGCGCCGCACATGGTATTCTGTGGAAGAGCCACACTCAAGGGGCCAAAGAGCCGCATGTGACTTGCGAGCGCAGTTTGCCGACCACGGCTCTAGAATGAGAAATAGGAACAATTTATTGGAGGATTTTGATTTGGGATAAGAAAGAATGACCTTTCAAACTACACCCTGTCCCAGCAAAGGGCTGCCTCAGGGCATCATGAGATTATTCTTTCCATCCTGCCCTCCCTCCACTAGGTTCAGCAGAGATGCCAGCACTTACTGAGAGGTGGCCCAAGTGACCACTGACATTGCTCCTCTATTCCTTTATGGATTGAATGAAAATGAGTAAATAGGAATATTTACTGCTGCCTTCTTACATGTTTTGTCTCAAGTTCAGAGTACTAATTTATGTCTTTTTTGTTTAAATTAGGAAACGATGGCATCTCTTTCTCCCTGAGGATACTCCTTTCCTTCATCCAACTAGAATCCCTTATGAAGAATCTAGTGTGTTTAGTAAAGTCAATGTTGTCCATCCTGATGTAAAACGTTTTCCTCGGTTCCAGGAAGCTCGAAGACATGTGGTTACACTGAGCCCAGGACAGGTAATGCGGAAGCTGGGACTTGTCTCATGGCCTTAGGACACGTGCCTCTCCCTTTCCTCACCTTCCCCTACCTAGTACTAGTACAAATAGGAAGGGTTTCTTCCTTGGTGCTCTACTATTGGAAGGTAGCTTTTCCAGCTATAGGCTTCACATACATACTTCTTTGCTTCTCAGGTCATGGATAGATGGGAGGAGGGATCACAGCTCCTCCTACTGGTAAAGAAGAGAATAGACTGTGGAGAAAGACAGCTCACTAAGTCGTTTTTTTCTCTTTCTTTTTTCAAGTTAAGAGCAAGTGTCAAAGCATGGGTATTTGAGCACTTCTGGAACCTTTATTTACAGTTCATATCTGTTCAGCCGTGCTGGAACCCAGACACATATCATTGCAGTGCATCTAGGGGCAGAGGCATTACAGAGCCAGAATGATGTGCTTTTAAGCAAGAATGGATGTTGCTTTTGTAACTGTCTCTGAAACATTAACAAAAGTATTGTACCTAGTGCTGCTACCCTGTAGGGAAAATCACCTTTACAACACTGGCATTTGCTGTCTGATGTTTTATTAACAATTTGAAAGGTATTCTTAGTCTCTTACAGAGAGTTTACTCGCTCCCTTATCCCTCTCTCCTGCCTGTTTTCCTTCTGTTGCTCCCTTTTCCCTGGCTCCCTTCCTGCTTCCTTCATACTTGAGAACTCCAACGCAAACAATCTGACTAAGTTGCTTCCACCCATTGGTGGTTACTCCCCTTCACCTTTGCCCCCAGCCCCTGGCAACCACTTACCTATTTTCTTTCCCTATAGATTTACTGTTCTGGACTTTTCACATAAGTGCACTCATACAGCATATGAGCTTTGAGAACTGGCTCCTTTCACTTAGCATAATGTTTTCAGGGTTCATCCATGCTGTAGAATGTTGTTAGTACTTCATTCCTTTTTGTGGCTGAATATATTCCACTGTTTGGAGATCTATTTTGTTTATCCATTAATCAGTTGATGGACATTTGTGTTGGTTCCACTTTTGAACTATGATAAGTAATGTTGCCATGCACTTTTGTGTACAAGTTTTTGTACATGCATATGTTTTCAGTTCTCTTGGGTACATATATAGGAGTGGAATTGCTGGGTCATATTAGTAACTCTGGGGGAACTGCCAAACTTTTTTCCACACCATCTTCTTTATTATATCTTCCCACCAGCAACATCTGACGGTTCCAATATCTCTACATCCTCACCAACACGTGTTATTTCCCTTTACTGTTAATATTATTGTTGTTATAAAAATTCTAGTGGGTGTAAAGTGGTTGTAATTCTTGTACTGAGTCTGGACAAGTGCAGTCCTCCTTGACTCTGCCAGTTGCTTTTGTCTACTATACCTTCCTATTTAGATCTTAACATTTAATAATTAGACTATTGCAAGAATCTCTCATCCTTCCCAGACTCTGCCATAATGTCGCTATTTTAACCATCCCCCTACTCAAAGTTTCTCAGCCACTCCCAGTGCCAATAGGATAAAATCCAGACTCTGTGTTCTGATTTCAGAGCCCTCCACAGACCCTCACCCAACTAACTCTCCCACCTCATCTCCTATCTACTTGCTGTGCCTCAATAGTCCCACCTCCCTTGTCTGTGCCACTTCTCCCTCCTGATACGTCCTTATCCTTTTCTCTGTCTAAACTCTCTATCATCCCTGGTTCAAATCACACTTCCTCCATCCAGGATGCCCCTGACCTTGGTTCGTGCCTGCTTCTCCCACCTTCATAACTCCCTTGCACCAGTGTCCACTATTCTAATTTGCCACTTATACCACCTTTCTATGGGCTACTTTTCCACTGGCTAGGTTTTAGACTGTGAGGAGATAGAAACTATGACCTATCTTTTTACCTAGGCCCTTTCTCAGAATGCATGCAATTATTTTGCAGTGGAATGGAGGAAATATTAGAATCTCAGAATTCTTTACTAAGACCTAGATGTAAATAGATAAGTGTCGTAAGTGTTTCCCTCCACATCCTGCATGGTTCAGGGTTTGGGTCTGGAAGAGGAGCCGCACACAAATGAAAGAGAAAAGACACGAGATAATTTGGAAATATTGGGGGACCGGGAGGGCAAGTCCAACTCAAGAGGAAGGACTTCCACTGTGCTCAGGCCTCACCAAGCTGTTTATAGTGAGAGGTAAACAAGGTAGTGGTTACCATAGTTACACAGTTCTTGTGAGTTTCACTTGTTTTGACCATGGTTACACTTCCTGCACTTCCTCAGCCCATTAGCTTCCCAGGTAAGATCTAGGGAGTGTTACAAGGTCAAGCCTAATTATGCTAAAAGGACTGTGCCCTCTAAGCTGGGACTTGTTTGTGACTTTGCCAAAGGTCAGTCCGGGGCTTAACCCTATATCAGTTTCCCACAGATAAGGTCTTGGATTAAGGAGAGAAGAAACTGGAGAAGCTGGCAGTGTCCTTTGTAGAACAGATGAGTTTGTCAATAAAAAAGGAAATAAAAGGATTGTGGGGTTTTTCTTGTTTTCCTTTATTACAGCAGTATTACTGTAAATTCATTTGTATTACTTTCTTTTTCTAGTATCTTCAGTTGGGCTTTTTTGATTCTGCTGATATAAAAATAAAATGTCCTGGACTTGTGCTAACCATTCTTTATTTGGTTTTCAGGTTCTGTTTGTTCCCAGACACTGGTGGCATTATGTAGAATCCATTGATCCTGTCACTGTCAGTATAAACTCGTGGATTGAATTGGTACTTTTTTTCTTAATAATTGTATTCCTTGCTTTTAAGATATACAAAGCCTGTTTCTAAAACGTGATTAATTTTAACTAACATTCCAGTTTTACTTTGTGTTGCTGTATCATAAATTGTGTTCTGTGCTCTGTGGATGGATGTTTAGGATGGAAATAGGATTGTTAGTGATGTGCCATTCTTTCTTTTAAGGGTACACACTGGGCCTTGAGGTTGGTTTTCAGGGTCTTTTCCCTTGACCAGTGTTGTTAGATCATGCGGGCCTGACTGGATCTGCCATGCATGTCTCATGTTGCCAGTCCCATCTCACACCATCTGGACCAGAAATACTGCTTCTTGATTCAGGGCTCTCATAACTAGTTGGACAGTTCCCAGTCCTGGCTTATACATTTTCTCAAAGCAGAGTCTTGCTAGGTTTTTATCATTTCATTTCTGCCTAAAGCCTTTTCTCTCCGATATGCTATGCTTAGTCCTGGTTGCCTGCTCTACTCCACAATTAAAATGGCTGCCCATTTGGCTCAAGTCTATCTCTTCAACCCAAGGCCTTGACTGCATCTATACGCTCTTTCACCAGAGGTGTTGACTGCACCTGTGCCCTCTTTAACCTAGGCCTTCAGTCCATCTCCGCTGTCCTCTCTGGCCTTGGTTGCATCTCCTCTCTTTGGCAGCTGCAATCTCCCCTCAGTCAGGCTTTTCTTACCCTTTGGTGATGGAAAGGGCTCTGATGGAACACAATGTAATAGGAAGCTGTATTGTGTGAGCTTAGAGCAGAGCTGTCGCCCTTGGGAGTTAGGTGAGAGGTGGGGCAGATCAGTAGACTCACCGAAGTTCTGCTTGTGGCAGGCTGAATTGGAGTTGGAGCACATGCCAATGCAGAGTCCATGGACTCCACTTCCACTCCCTGTACCAGTCACATGTGCAGTAGCCCCAACAGATGCCGCTTCTCCCGAGGAAGCTCATCCTGTTGTTGAACAGTGGGCCTGTCATCTGCCTGCTTACAGCCATACCCATTATTTCTGAAACTGTACACAATTTTTTTCCTAAGTATTTTACAATACCTGCGATGTGTCTCCTTAATCTCTTCCAGGCTCAAAACCTCTTTTTATTGCACGATGTTTTTATGTGATTTTCTTTTCAGACTTTCCACCATTTTGGCTGTAGACTTGGAGTTAGGTAGACTTAAGACCCAGGTCTATACCTTTGTTAGCTGTCTAACCTAGATGGTTACTCAATGCCATAAGCCTAAGTTTCCTCACTGTTAGAACAGGGATTATAATTGCACTCACTTCAGTAGGGTGACTGTGAGGTTTAAATTGGGCAAAACATGTATAAGCATCTAATTCAGTGCCTGGCACATGGGGAGTATTTAAAAATGGAAATTGCTTTTAGGAGGAGAAAGAGCTGTTATGCCAAGCATAGCCCTCTTAATGTTCGGCACCCAAAACTGAAAACCAGTGGGCCTCATTTGATGGAGCATAAGATTTCTACCTCATGTGACTTTTGATCCTAAATTTCTTCAGTACTGGTTATAATATTACATTAACTTTTTTTGTAGTTTTATCTCACTTGCTGCTCATATCCAGCTCTACAATATCCATGTGTTTCTCACATGATCAGCAGCCACATCAGATTGTCCTTCATCCTGAATCTGTAAAGCTGGTTCTTTAAATTTGAGTCCTATTCTTTAGTCATCTCTCTTACTTTTCATCATATCTATTTGGTTGAGCATTGTAGCTTCCCAAGATAATTTTGAATTTGAGTCTCATTTATGCTTTTAGTGAAACTCCTTCAGGCTGGCTTGTGCCCTTTTGGTATGTCACCATTAATCTTTGAGATTATCCTTGCTTTCTGGTACATAGTAGATACCCCAGGATTGCCTTGTACTAAGCGCTGCCCCAAACTTGGAAGTCAATAATTTCTCCAAGTGGCCAAGGTTCCTTTTAGTGGGAATGGTATTTAGAAATCCAGATTTGGGTTCTACGGCTGCTCATTGCTACTGGTGTCACTGTTCCCAGACTCTCTAAGTGGTGAAGCTAGAATGTGATATAGATAGATAGGTGATTGATAGATTGATAGATAGAAATATACCTATACTTCTCAATCAAAGTTAACATTATAGGGATTTTTCTTATTTATTTCTTTAGTCTTCTCTTACACTGAATTTCTGGGTCAATAATAACAGTAATATATTTACTTCTTTGTTTTATCCACCAATGTTTTTTCAGATGTGGAATTTACAATTCCAAATTCTAGTACTCATATGTGACTTTCTTTTCAAAAACTATAAAACTTGTCAGTAAAATTTAATATGTTTTGCATCCATTTATCGTTAGACTATATCCTACTAACTGGGTACAGAGTACTATTTTCAGTAGCCATCATGACAGAATTCTTTTCATTTGTGATTATGTTACTGACTTTAGTTTTTGCTGTTAAGGCCTTCCACTGATTGGATGAGGTCCACCCACATTGTTGAGGACAATCTTCATTATTTTAAGTCAACTGATTTTAAAAGTCAACTGATTTTAAATATCAGTCACATCTAGAAAATATCTTCACAACAACATCTCTGCCAGTGCTTGACCAAACAACTGGCACCATAGCCCAATCAAGTTGATTTGTAAAAATAACCATCACATACGGCAACTCTATGTTGAACCTTTTGAGGAACCGTCAGGCTGTTTTCCAAAGCAGCGGCACCCTTTACAGTCCCACCAGCAGTATAAGAAGATTCTGGATCCTCCACAATTTTACCAATCTTTTTCATTATATCTGTCCTAGTGTAAAGTGGTGTCTCATTGTGGGGATTTGCTTTTTAAAATTTAGTATTATGTTTCTAAGATTCATCTGTGTTGTCACATGTAGCTGTTCATTCATTTCCTGTGGTACATTTTCTTGTGTTAATATACCACACTGTATTGGCTCATTGTTCTATTGATGGATAATTGGGTTGTTTACAATTTTTTACTTCTATAAATAGAATATTCTTGTACAAAAGTACAAATTTCTCTAGAGAATATGTGTGATTCTCAAAGTGGAATTGCTGGTCTGTAGGGTACATAATACTCAGGTTTACTGATAATGCCAACATCTTTTCCAAGTGGCTCTATCAGTTTGCACTCCCATCACTAGTGTGTAAGATTTCTGTCTGTCTGTGCATGTTTTTCTACCACTTGCAATAATCAAACCCTCTTTTACTAGTTTCATAATTTATATTTCCCCTATTTTTAATGTGGTTAAGCATATTTTTATGTTTATTAGTCATATAATTGTTTTTTAATTGAAATGCTTATCTTCATGTCTTTTGACCATTTAAAAAAATTGGGTCATTTTCTTTTTGAACTGTGCAAATTCTTTATGTATTCTAGATATTAATCTTAGATCGATTATACTAAGTGTTACAGCCATCTGGTTTGTTTTTTCTTTTATGAGTTTGAGGAACGGAAGTTGTTAATCTTAATACAATTTCTCATTAATGCTATAGTTTATATTTATTGTGTCTTTACATATTTACATTCTTGTGGCTAAGCAAGTTAATATGAAATTTTCTCCCATTCCTCAAACAATTAGCATATCAACCTCTATAGGGATTATTCCTCCATATGTAACACTTTTTCTTTTTTGCTTGAGACATGTCAGAGAATGGAAAAGATTGGAAAAACATCAGAGGGCAGTTCATACTCAAGGCCTATGCCTTATAGACAGGATATATACTTAAGTTTGGTTAGTGAAATATTGCACAGCTCTTCTAGATGTCAGATGATAGTGAACACATAAAAAACTGTGGTCTGCCATTCCTTCTGTAACAAAGCTTATGTTGATGAGAACAGAACACACAATTAAGGGACGCTAGTCTCTGTTGTAAGCCATGAGACAGAGAGACAAGTGAAAAAATGATGTTTTTATCTCAACTTAGGAAGAGGACCACCAGGCTCGGGTAGAAGAGGCAATCACCCGCATGCTTGTGTGCGCCCTGAAAACTGCAGAGGACCCACACAGTACCAGGGCTTGGTTAAACCCAACGGAGGTAGGCCGCTCCTGGTTTCCATCATGGCAGTTGGTATTCTGTAATAAATCAACCCTGACTAGATTTATTTTCCAATTTATGTAACCACTTAAAAGATTTCTCTTTTTCCTTAGGTTGAGGAAACATCCCATGAAGTCAATTGTCACTACTTAAATAGAGCTGTTTCTGCCTTTTTTGATCATTACAGAACATCTAAGACAGAAATCCAAGCACTCAGAACAAACGGAGAGCACATGAAAAAGGAAGAATTCAACATGCACAACAACCTCATGGAGGTAGAACAAACAGGCAGCCAGAACTTAACCTTGGGAACAGTAGGAGAGCAGGCAGCATGTCCCTTTGGCCCTGATCTGGTTCCCATACTACCGAGTTCTGAAGATCCACCCTCAGAAACAGGAGGCATGTTTAAAAATGATGGTAAAGACTTTGTTGGCAAAGCTGGAGAGCACTTTGACAAATTGCACTGTACCAAGAAGCAACGAATGATGAGTGGACGTGAGAATGAAATTGTGGAACAGATTGCTTCAAATAGTACTATGGCCCCTTCCCAAACATTCATTTCTACAGATGACTTACTGGACTGCTTGGTGAATCCACAAGTAACCAAGATAGTGGCACAACTTTTGATACAAGGAAGGAGTTTGTGATTGTAATAGAAAATGACTTTTAAATATTTTAAACATTTTTAAAATAGTGTGATTTTTAAATAAAAGATGAAACAATGAAAAGCAGTTTGCACAGGCTTGTAAATGTACTTGTTCTTACCTAGTTAAATTTCAACCTCTTGCCACCTTCTTGCATGCACATTGCTCTTTGCCCAAACTGGCTCTTTGTTATTTGTGAGGCCTTCTTTCTGAGCTTTTTCTTTCCTCTCCCTTCCCATCTCCTCAGCCTATTTCAAATGTAAGCCCCAAGTGTTCTTAACAGGAAATAATCTCTCCATCAGCCTTAAGAAGGGGTCAGCCTGCTGCCTGTTTTTGTAATAAAGTTTTATTGGAACACAGCCCTGCGACTTGTTTACATATTGTCTATGGTGGTTAGGGTTGTAGTGGCAGAGTTGAGTAGTGACAGAGACGATATGGCCCACAGAGCTGAAAATCTTCACTAGCCCCTTACAGAAAACAAAAATTGCCAACCCCTGGCCTAATGCATCCACTGGGTAGATTCAAGCCTTGACCTGATGTAATCACACTTTTAACACCTTCAGAATTCTCACTGTTAATGCCTGTCATCCAGGGCAGGATACCAATCAGGAGATAAGTAGATGGGGGTCCGATATGGAAGGAACTGGGACATGTAGGAACACCAGCCCTGGGAACAAAAAGACCTGGATGCTACTGACGCCCGAAATTTACTAAAAGCTTGGTTTGGTAAATTGATCCCACTCATTACATTTGCAAGATCCAAAGATAATTATTACCATTACTCTCTTAGAATTTAGAAGTTAGAAAAGCATATTGATCTCTGCATAACCACTTATGAAACAAATACATAACAAAAGATATAGTCACCTTTTCATTGAGCTCACTACTGCCCCATCCTTCTCAGTCTTCGGACTGAAGGTATCAGTAAATAAAAAAAATTTAAAAAACTGCCTTCCAGGAGAGAGCGAGGGAGGGAGGTGTGTGACCATAACTAGGAAAGGAGGATCTGGAAAAAAAAAACCTTCTGTAGCACTTACCACCATCTGATCACTATATATTTACCTATTTATTTGATTTTGTTTATCTTCCCCAACCAGAATGTCACAGCACAAGGGTTTAGACTTTGATTATTGCTGTATTCGCAGAGCCAGATCAGGGGCCAGAATATGGCAGGTGTTCATTAAATATCTGACTGAGCAGGTTATTTTTAAAAGAATGCCTTGTTGGCAATATTCCATCAAATACATTGGGGCTGAGGATGTTGTAGCCAAGGATATGATGTCCATGAACCTTAATAGGTATATCCCTATTGCAGAATACACATATCTTTTGTCTTCAAAAATTTTATTTTTTATGTTTGTTACTTTGACCACTGTTTTCCAAGTTGCAGGCTGTGACCCATTAGTGAGTCATAAAATCTATTGGTTGAGACCAGCATTTTTTAAAAATGTGATATAATAGGCAATTTCAGTGAATTCAGTAGTAAGTGTAAGTATTCTGTGAAACTGCAGGAAGATTATTTTTTTTTTCAGAGTAAATATAAAAAAACCCTGGGTCGTAACAGGTCACGACAGTCTCCACCAACCGGAAGTTAGTCCTGCAGTCAGCACTGTGGTGCCCCAGCACTGACTGCTGAGGAGGCTGTGAATTAGAGTCAGAGAGAGGCCTGAAGAGAGAAGCAGAGAATGATCCCTTTCCTCTGTGGCAGCTTTTTATCAGCATTTGCATCTCTCTTTCTCTCCTAGTCTGGCAGCAGCCACGCCTCCATTTCTCTCCAGGCCTCCACCGGAGCTGCTGATCTGCCCTGCCTTTCTCATCAGGCCCGTTGATAGGCCCAGAGATGCTGACTGGCGTAAGAACCGACCAATCAGAACAGAATCTCGGTGCTATGAGGAGTGAATGGCTGCCTAGGAGGCGGAGCGTTTGACAGTGATTGACATAGGAACTGACCAATCAGAACCAAATGTGGGTGCTGTGAAGAACCAATGGCTGTCTGGGAGGCAGAGCTTTTGACACTGACTGGCATAGAAACCAACCAATCAGAACCAAATTGGCCAGCAGAGGAGGGCAGTTGGGGGCAAGATCAGGCTGGCAGGGGAGAGCTGTTGTGGGCACAATCAGGCTGGCAGAGGAGGGCAGTTGGGAGCAACCGGGCCTGCAGGGGAGGGCAGTTGGGGGTGATCAGGCAGGCAGGCAGAGGCAGTTAGGGCCTATCAGGAAGGCAGGCAGTTGAGCAGTTAGGAGGCAGCAGTCCCAGATTGCAAGAAGGATGTCTGACTGCTGGTTTAGGCCCGATTTCACAGGGCCTAAACCGGCAGTTGGACATCCCCCCCATGGGTCCCGGATTGCGAGAGGGTGCAGGCTGGGCTGAGGAAACACATCCCCCTCCGGGCACGAATTTCATGCACTGGGCCACTGGTATTTCTTTTATTTATTTTAAATAAATCTTTATTGTTCAGATTATTACAGTTGTTCCTCTTTTTCCCCCCATAGCT